ATCTTCCTCTCCTTAGCAAACCATTTCGTTATTTTACATTTAATAAGTGAATAAAATTATGATATGTAGGTTTATTATACCTTGTAATACAGTCGAAGAAAAAAAATAATGATAATGGTAAGCCTATGAAAATTATTTGAAGCAAGGATACCAAGAAATTGTCAAAAATCTTCTTTTTTTTTTTTTTTTTTTTTTTTTCGTTCGTTGCCACTGTCATAGCATGAAAGCCGACTGACTTCTGATAAGAAAAGACAATACTGTATTTTGATTGCAAATCTGTTTCTTATAGAATAATATTCTGCGGATGAAACTTTAAAACAAATACACAAAACTAAGAGGCACTAAAGGCACAAGGTTGTGGGATTCGACTGGTATTGAACTGATAGAATTATCGTTAATCGGACGTTTCTCTTGACCCCGATTTAGTTGATACAACGAATTACTGGATAGAGTTTATGAATAGCGTAAAAAAACAACAACAACAAACAAAAACAAATACAGATGCTGACGACAACCCATACAGCGTCCGTGTCGTTGAATTTAAGCCAGAGAAAACAAGGGTACACGAGGGTCCGCTGTTTATACCTTTATAATCCATACTAACGTGGTGACACTTTTTTATTTTTTTTTAAGATTTGCTATTCTGTTGTGAATGTCCCGGTTTTCGCTTTCGCCTCCCGGTAAAATAGTGACACATTCACAACCGACTTTATATTGATTTGTTTCAAACGCAAACCCATACTGTAGGCTGAGGCAATAAGGTCTAGCGAACTAAATCATCAGCAGGATTTATACAAATATATATACTATGCAGTATATACAATGTATATATACTAATATGTATATATACATTCATTTATTCTTTGCATGTCTTCATTTGTTTTTCTCTCGCTCCATGCTAATTTTAACATTCTTCTCCACTACAAATACATGAATGTATGGTGAACGAAAGTTTTCATCATTATCAAGCATACATCTCTCTACCAATATAGGAAAAGAGAGAGGCGAGAGATGAACGAGGGCCGACGCAGGCAATGCAAAATTTACTAATTTGCTTGCTTTTTACGACATTAAATCCAAATGAAATATCATAGTCACATCTCTTTGGAGGTCGTGGACCAGCCTTCTCCAAGCCACTCTATCTTTCGATCTTTGTACCTGCTCATTCAACGATAGTCCACTCCAATCCTTGATATCCATTATCCTTGTTCTTCGCTGCCTTCCTCTGCTCCTCTTTCCTTCTCCCTTGCCCAAACAAAACATCCTCACAATACACCCTGCCTCAAATCATGTCCACTATAACTTACTTTCGTTTTCTTGCAGTTTATTTTCTTCATTTAACAATTCCTAAACCTCATTAGTCCATTTCTTATTCCAGCTCCTCAGTTTTATCATCCTTCTGTAACACACATCTCAAAACTTCTTAAGACTTCTTTCAGTTTCTGCATTCGTAGTCCAGGTCTCAGCACCATAGAAAACGATTGACCAAACATAATATTCTAATAATCTTTTTCTAGTTTCGATATTCACTCTTTTATTTGTTGAAAAATTACTAATCCTGCAGAACTGAGTTTTAGCTTTTGCAATTCTAATCTTTATTTTATTTTATTTTTATTTATTTTTACTGTGTTATGAAACTTTCCAAGGTATGTAAAGTAATTTACTTTTTTAAATTCTTCATTACGTATATTGACATTCAAACCTTGTCATTTTCTTAGCTTTGCACTCTTCTTGACAGCCATAACTTTTTTCTTGGAATTTAACTTTAATCCATATTTTCCACTGATGTTGCTTACTTGTTGAGCATTTCTTGGAGCATGACACTTTTCTGCAATTAAAAATGTTATCAGCTGCGTATCTCAAATTAGATATTCTGCCGCAATATGTTCGTGTAATGTTTGTGTTTCATGACTTGGAGCTGTCCATCTGTATAAGTGTCTTGGATGATTATTAAGTAGTGTATTGGCAATGCATAGATAATTATTTTCACAATATTCTATTAATTTTCCTCTCCTTTCATTCTGCTCGAAATGATACGTACATATTTATAGACATTTTAAATTGTGTCGGCTTTTGGATCCTTTTTCTAATTATGTAGACAGGTGAAACAGACAGTTTTTAGTAGACTCTCATTTTAATAAATATCCATCATAAATACAGTCAATAAATGTTCATTTAGGCGTAAGTAGGGGCAGGCTTGTAAGCAGGAGTAGGGTTGTAGGCAGGGGCTGGCTTGTAAGCGGGGACGGGCTTGTAGGCAGGTTCAGGATGGTAAGGCAGGATGGTAAGGAGCTGGCTTGTACTCGGGGTACTGGGCCTCACCCTCGTAGCTGACCTCAGCCACGTAACCGGAGTCGCCGTTGACAGTGTAGGCGACCTTCTGCAGACGACCGTCGGGAAGGAGGACGTAGTAGGATCCCTGGGTGTCATAGCCATCACGGGCCTCCTGGTGACCGAAGTCGTTGCCGGAGTAGTCGTCCTTCACAGCATAGTTGAAGTCGTACTTGGCAGGGATCTAAAAAAATTGTACAAAATTAGAATCATGCATAACTAAATTTTCTTTTACAATGTTTTTCATAAACAGGGTGACTTTCAAGTTCCAAAAATTATACATACCTCATAGGTGGCCTGAGGGGCATATCCATAGCCTGGCTGAGAAGGAGCAGAGGCAGCAACGGCCACGAGGGCGAGGGCGACGACAGCCTAGAAAGAAGGGTTTACAAGATCACGAGTTCCTTCCATCTGTCTTATGATGCACAGTAATTTGCCACAGTATCATGATATATTTCACGGTTTAATTTTATATTTATTCTCTGGTTTAGATAGGAATTAGGCAGGCTGATAGTACTCCTTACCTTGGTGAACATGATGGAGGTAGATGAAGTGTGATACTCCGATCACTTTCCAAATCCCTTATATACCAGAATCTACGTGTAAAGTAGACACGCCCCTTCCTTCCTTCCGTGCGACCTTTACCTTGGAATATAACGACCGTCTTCCTCTCGATAACAAAACCATATTAACATCATTACAATTAGATTATGCACTAACTTAGTGTATAGGGTTTACTATACATTGTACTGCATAGGGGAGGGGGAACTAAAATGAAAATATCGTTGTTATAAATTGTACGCAATGCCAAAAAATGCACCGTCGGTGTCTGCGTGAACAACGAAGGCGCTTCTCGTGTCTCGTTGTTCACGCAGACACCGACGGTCACCTACCCGAAGTGGTCCCAGGCCTCCATCATAAAGCAAGGCCTGGCCCCACGACAAAGGAAGATGGTAGAAGCGGCGTTCATTCATACAACTAACATCAACACCGCTACGGGGAGCCACGAACTAGCCAAGGTCGTCGCTCACCTGATTACCGACGTGACCTGACCACCCAGTAATTGTATATATACTCCTCTATGTACATGTAGTATATGCCCTGACGAAGCAATAGTGAAAAGGCCTTCGGCATATTCGTGTGTTTTCTTGCCCTTTCCTTCGTTGTTCCTGTTGCAATCTGTTCACCATGAATTCCACATATATAAATATGTATATGAGTCTGTGTATGTTTGCACGGATGTATGCTCAAAGCACCCTTACGAGGTTTTACCCTTTATCTAGGGAGTTAAAAAACTAACGTCTAAAGAAGGAAAAAATACTATCAGGGTTTAAAATGGTATATACTGGCGATACAATATCAGTTCAGTATGTACCGCATCCACCATATACTTAACAAACAGAAATACCCATGTGCTGTGCGCGAGTACACGGAAGCAAACACACTGATGCCTAAACACACATTATGAACGTACGAGGGTATTTTGTTATAGGCTTGTATGCAGGGTCTGGCTTGTAGGCAGGCTTGTACTCAGGGTACTGGGCCTCACCCTCGTAGCTGACCTCGGTCACGTAACCGGAGTCGCCGTTGATAGTACAGGCGACCTTCTGCAGACGACCGTCGGGAAGGGGACGTAGTAGGATCCTGAGTGTTAGCCATCTCGGGCCTCCATGACCGAAGTCGTATTTGGCAGGGACCTGGAAAAAATGCCTATGGGAATGGGAATTTTACACAATATTGGCATGTATATATATATATATATATATATATATATATATATATATATATATATATATATATATATATATATATATATATATATATATACACACACACATATATATATACACATATACATACAAACACGCACACATATATACACACACACACACACACACACACACACACACACACACACACACATATATATATATATATATATATATATATATATATATATATATATATATATATATATATATATATATATATATATATATATGCATATCCATATATGTACATATATACACATAAATGTATATATGTATACTCACAATTCGGTAGCAAAAGATATTTTTAGATGCCAAAACGTGTATTTACCTCAAAGGCAGGTTGAGGAGCATAACCAAAGGCTTGTTATCTTATACTCTTACATATCCATGTCTGCATTTGTGCACACATACATATTTGTCAATGTGCAAAATAGACAGGATAAAAGGAACCGACGGATCATATAATGTACCCATTCACCCATTCTTTTAGCTATGATCATACAGACTATATACAGCCTAAAATCAAAAACAAAAAGTGTGTGAATCGATCCCAAGCCCTTATGTTAGTAATGCAAATGTGTTGAGAAGAGCATTTAGATTGCTAAATTCCTTAATGTGTGAAATGAAAATACATATTGCTAAATTGTTAGTGCAACAGTATAATCAGTCAAGAGCACTTAAGATGACTTTGTATAGGCAGTGCATTTCATTCTATTGTTAACATGGATATGGTTAAATTAAGTTATACACGAGTAGATTCCAACATTTCCCTCAAATTATGTATGTATTATAAATACTGATATAATGGTGTTTTCGATTTTTTTTTTGAACAAACTCGTCAGCATATCAACATATATTTTTTTCAACTATGTAGACTGGGTAATAAGATGAGTGGTAGTAGACTTCTGTTTAATAAATATGCATCATAATTTAAAATTTCATTTAGGCGTAGACTGGTGCAGGCTTATAGACAGGTACTGGGTTGTAGGCAGGCTTGTACTCGGGGTACTGGGCCTCACCCTCGTAGCTGACCTCGGCCACGTAGCCGGAGTCGCCGTTGACAGTGTAGGCGACCTTCTCCAGACGACCGTCGGGGAGCTGGACGTAGTAGGAACCCTGAGTATTATAACCATCGCGAGCTTCTTGGTGACCGAAGTCGTTGCCGGAGTAGTCGTCCTTCACAGCATAGTTGAAGTCGTACTTGGCAGGGACCTGGTAAAAAATGCACAAAATTAGAACTATGCAATACTAAATTTTTTATAATTTACATTAGTTATGAAAATGATGCTTTTACATTCCAAAAATTATACTTACCTCATAGGCTGGCTGAGGAGCATAGCCATAGGCTGGTAGAGAAGGAGCAGATGCAGCAACGGCCACAAGGGCGAGGGCAACGATAGTCTAGAAAGATGTAAGTAAATTTCGTGTAATCTTTGTTAATTTAAGATGGCACAGAAATTTGAAATATGCTTCGATTATATTAAGGTATGTTTAGTTATATAGCTGATCAAGGCAGGCTAATGATTTGTCTTACCTTGGTGAACATGGTGAAGATAGATGAAGTGTGATGCTCCTGTAACTCACTAAGTCCGCTTTATAGTGCGGTCCACGAGTAGGCCTATGGTAGACACGCCCCTTCCGTGCGACCTTTACCTTGAAATGCATTCATTTTATCTCTTTTTAACTGGCCATATTACTCTCGTGGAAATGGAATTAGCGCAAACTCACAATATATTTTCATACTACATACGGTGCAACTTCAGAAAATAAAACATATGTAACTTGTTGCATGATAAAGATATCAATTCATTCGCAGATATTGGAAATCACAGTCGTGTTTCTGTCACCCTCCAATAAACATGTTAGTGAGGTTTACTTTTCGCAACAGTTCCAGTGAATGTATAACCTACGTAAGATGCATCATTCCACTTTATTATTGAGCAGATTTATAATTCAGCCCGGATATTAAATTTCTCCTTTTCAGCGGCAATTGCACAAAAAAGAGCCAGAAATTTGAAAAGGTAAATTGCTGATACTAAAATAGAACAAAAAGCGATTGATTTTTCATTTGGACACAGTACCATATATGGTTGCAATGCTTGATTTTCTCGTTACATTCGCATACCTTTCGGCATCAACGCTGAAGAATCAGAACCTCCAAGGATTCCGCGATAACATCAACGATTAAATCCTTGAATGAAATATATTGCCTTTATACACATACGCACATAAACATAGCAATAATATATGAATGTCATATGCGTTCACGGGATAAATTATATTAGATTCACTGCAAAAATATTTGCATTCTCTATCATTACTAGCTTTACCTGTTTCATAATCCTCCTCGAGGTTGAAGAATGTTAGTGTCTGTGTAACACAACATATATTGTAAACATTTAAAAAAAGAAGAAAAAAAAGACTGCTCAAGCACACATCGCCTATGTTTCTTTTAATTTTTCTTCTTTTTACCATAATATCATCATCTGTAGAAAACCTGAACCTA